GGGTGGAGGGGGTGGTCATGTCGCACCAACACAAGGACAAATGACACACTGTTGTACTCACCAACGTTTGGGGCAGGTTCTGGGACCAGGCGATTGGGGATCTTCCACTCCTGGAAAATCTGTGGACAAATTGACACAGTGATTAATGACATAATAATACATGGATTAATGATATAGTAATACATGGATTAATGATATAATAATACATGGATTAATGATATAATGACACATGGATTTGTGATATAATGACACAGTGATTAAGGATATAATGACACATGGATTAATGATATAAGGGCACATGGATTAATGATATAATGACATATTGATTAATGATATATTAACACCTTGTTTAGTAATATAATGACACAGTGATTAATGATGTATTGACTCATTGATTGCTATTGTAGATAAATGATAGTTGTTTTGACACGTTGATTATTATTGTAGATAAATGACAGTTATTTTGACTCGTTGATTGTTATTGTAGATAAATGATAGTTATTTTGACTCGTTGGTCGTTAGTCAAGGTAGAACAGATACACTGACACATTGATTGTAACTGTAGTAACAGCAGAATTAATATATTGACACATCAACATATTATTAGAGTACCACACAGTAGAATTGACAAATTGACCCACTGATTATTACAGTAGCAATAGTAGAACTGACATATTGGCACAATGATTTTTGAAGTAATAAAAGTAGAACTGACGAATTGACATAGTGATTGTTAGGGTAGCAATAGTCAAAGTGAAACATAGATGGTTGAAGTAGCGATAGCAGAAGTCATAGATCTATACTATCACACTGATAGTTTTACAGTAGCGATGGTAGATAGTTTTCACAGAGTCCGGTATAGATAGATAGATAGATAGATAGATAGATAGATAGATAGATAGATAGATAGATAGATAGATAGATAGATAGATAGATAGGTTTAGCTAGCTTATGGGCTATATTATACGTGTATAATTTTGTACTGTCATAATGTGGTCGCTTTTAAGCACAAGAGGGGTCCCGAAAAATGCCGTTTTTTAGAAAATCGAAGGTAAAGTTTTTTCCCCTTGTTCAATTTCTTTAAAAGTAAAAGGCAAGGGGCATTTTTTTCTATAACCAAAAAGATAGACCCACTATTGAAACCAAACTTCTTCAATAGGTAGGGCAAATGCCACTTTTGGTGTTGGCCTAGGTCAAGATATCTGGAAACCCCCCGAAATCAGGGTTAGCCCGCTTGTCCTTAAAAGCGACCATATGTTATCTATAATATGTCAGTGTCAATCCGTGAGTCAAGCTCTTTCTCTCCCTCTCCCTCCTCCTCTTCTCTCTCCCTCTCTCTCTCTCTCTCTCTCTCTCTCTCTC